CTGTCTCTCATGAATAAATAAATAAAATCTTTAAAAAAAAATAAAATAAAAAAAAATAAAATATCCCAGAGCAACACTGTCCAAGAGAATGGTCTGTGGTGATGGAATGTCCTTTATCTCCACTGTCCACTTGAGAGTAAATATTTTAATACTCTCCCTACATATTCAATGGCAACTTTTTTCTTATCTTAATCATATTTAGTGAATATTATTTTGATATGAAAACATACATTTTTCAAGAACACAATAATTTCAGACTTGTATTTTAACCAATTGATAAGCATGTGTTTATTTTCGCCAACATTTTTGCAGGCTATATCAAAATAAGTGCATTGCCCAATAAGAATTTTGGTTCTTAATGCCTTCAAATTGCAAATTAATCATAAATCATAATATAATGGAAAGTTGCCAATATTCATGTTCTCAGTTTTTCACTATCCAAATTTTCAAAAAATAAAATGTTTGTCTTAATGATATTTTGAGGCATACACAGCTGGCTCAGTCAGTGGAGCGTGTGGCTCCTAATCTCGGGGCTGTAAATTTGAGCCCCACACTGGGTGTAGAGATTACTTAAAAATAAAATCTTTTAAAAAATGGTATTTTAAAAATATAGCAACTAAGCAAAGTATGAAAAGGAAATCCATATTGGTGTTCAAAAGTACTATAAAACTTGAAAAAAAAATTGTTTTAAGTAGGCTCCACACCCAATGCGGGGTTTGAACTCATGACCTGACATCGAGAGTTGCACGCTCCACCAAATGAGACACCCAGGCAGCCTATAAAACTTGTTTTTAATTTCACTGCTATCATAGGTTATTCTAATATTGACTATAAAACCATCAAAGAAATGATAAATCATTTTAATTTAACATCTTATGTTACAATAAAATGACGTTATTTAGGCAGTTACATTTTCCATTATTCTCGGACTATATGAAGTACTTTGAAAAATGAAAATCTATTTTTATGTATAAAAGCTGTCACATTATGTTTATTCTCAAGCATTTTGGTTAACTCATTTCAGCTCCAAAATAAACACTCCATAGATAATTAAGTTATGGCTATTGTGCTATTTGGCACAAAATGCAATGCTGTATTTACATAGATACAATGAAACATTTATCATGATAGCTGGAAAAACACACATAAAAGAAATATTTTTACTTAATATAAAGTGTAGAAAATAAGTGCACTAGTGATACTGTTACCATAACCATGCAAAATACGTGCAAATTACAAATTTTACTATTCTAGCCAAGATGTTTCTCAGTCTAACCCTATGGCCCTAAAAATAGAAAGATAAAAGATTTAAAAAAATGAATGGTTCATTTGAGACAAGTGATCAATTAAATTCATCTGTGATAAATGAAGTTTTGAGATATATGATCTTAGTGTTAAGTTTAACCATAAAAAGTTTTTACTGAATAGTTTGTTATATTACTATATATTATCTTACCTTAATAAAGTAAAGCTGCAATCAAAATAACATGTTATCTACAGTAATAAACTCATGTGGCTAAGGAACTACACGTTACATGACCAGGCTTCAGGTTCTATTGCGTAGAATTTCTTCACCATTTTAAAAATCATCTCTTTGACATACATATATTTACACAGATTAGTTGATTCCTGATTTCCATACATAAATACACCTTGTTTAAGCTGGCTTATGTGAAAATTGCTGTGAAATTCCAATTAAGTGCTCCATTTTTTTTTTAACATGTGCCTACTTTGACATAAGTCAAATGCTAATCCAGCTGAGCATGTGATTGCAGGGGTGTCAAATGGTACGTGGAAATAACCATTTAAAACAATGAAATGCAAAAAAAACAAATAAAATAAAACAATGAAATGCATTTAAAAATATATATTACACTTCTAAATTTTTGTAAATGACATGCTCTTTAAAGCAATGAGCAAAAAAGGAAACTCAATCGTGATAAAAACAAAGTAAGAAGTTGACAGACCTGTTAAAACTTTAGCCTGATGATGGGTATTAAAGAGGTCATGTACTGAATGGAGCACTGGGTGTTATACGCAAACAATGAATCATGGAACACTACATCAAAAACTAATGATGTAGGGCGCCTGGGTGGCTCAGTTGGTTAGGCAACTGCCTTCGGCTCAGGTCATGATCCTGGAGTCCCGGGATCAAGTCCCACATCGGGCTCCCTGCTCAGCAGGGAGTCTGCTTCTCCCTCTGACCCTCTTCCCTCTCGTACTCTCTATCTCTCATTCTCTCTCTCTCAAATAAATAAATAAAATCTTAAAAAAAAACAAAAAACTAATGATGTAACGTATGGTGATTAACATAACATAATAAAAATAAATAAATCAATAAATAAAACTTTTGTAAGCCATTAAGAACTACTCAGAAGATGCTCTGAAAAAGGCAGAAAACAATGCAATTTCACCCTGGATGATATGCATTTCAAAGCCCTTCAGTGCAATCTAAATGCAGTCACTTTATCACTGATCCTATTCGGAACAATCTGTCAGGGGCTTACTGAACAATATTTATGACAATAATATTTAAGGAGTGTCTCCTGTACACCGGGCACTGGACTAGCTATGAATTTAACACACGCTTTCTCTTTCATTCATTAGCATTCAGCCTCAAATGGGTATGCATCTGGAATGTGATGAGGCCTCTTTTCAGCCAATTTTTTTAAAAAGAACAAGAGAAACATAAATATGTTAGCATAATAATTATTAGCCAGGAAAGATAAGGATTTCATGCAGAGACTGCCAGAGCTGGAACCCAGAAAAGGGACATATCTGCCAAGCTTTCCATAAGAGAAAAACAAATGGCGTTTCGTATGGGGGGAAAAAAAAGCATACTGTCAGGTGCTACAGCATGATGTCAGGTTTTGTTAGCACACGTTTCAGGATACTCCGAATTTTGTATCCCACTGACAAATCTAGCTTCCAGTTTCTGTGGGAATCTGCTACAAGTCACAAACAAATCACCCAAATTCTTGGAACTGAACTGTCTGAATCCAAATGAATAAAATCACTTATTCACAGAAAACCTCATGAACTTTTGACTTCTTAATCAGATGTTCTGACTTAACTGAAGCCACAGAATCAAAATATCTATTAACTATTTTGAATATTTAATTAAGGTGGGAACTTCAAGCCAACTTAATGGTGAACTGACCTGATTTCTTTTTAAACTTAGGTAGATGGTTCTGTGATACAAGCATCTCATAGCCAAGGATGGTTACAAGCTTACCTACAGAGAAATTATTTTCAAAATTCCGTTGTTTAGAAAGCAAGCAATAATTTTTAAATTGCTTTTCTGTTGTTATATTCACTCTTTCACTGATGGAGCAGAACAATGGGTATTTAAAAGGGGTGAAACCACATTCTTTTTATTGTCAGTGCAAAACTGTGGTACTAACTGACTTGAGTTGACATTTCAAAGAGAATACCAAAGACCACTAATAAAACCTTCAAATAAATTTCAGGAGTGCACCGCAACGCTATGCCAACTGGCAGCACCTTTTAAGGATGAGGAGAAATGAGAAAAAGTTCCAAGATGTCTTACATCTTGGCAACCAAAGGGTCAAAACATACCTTCAGGAAATAAAGGGGAATTAAATAATTTTTTAAAAATGGTTTTAAAGTGCCTGGTACATGGGCACTGGGAATAAAGAAATCTAAACTTCTGACCTGAAAATAATACACAATTGGAATAGAGTGGACCCAAAAACGAGACTCCAAAGAATGGCAACCAGATGCCCTGCGTATTAAGACCTGAGAAATATCACTTACCTAATGAGGTGTGATTTATTTTATCACACAACCTGGAAGGAATTCATTTATGTGATCCACATGCAAATTTGCCTTCAGTCACAAGGGAAAGCAAGTTAACTAAATTCATCCTTTATCTTCCTGCTCATCAGAAAACAACAGAGGTCCACATTTTTTTTTTCCTCAATGAGTATTTCAGACACAGAAAAACAAAGGTCTTAATGTTCTGGTACAGCTCATGAGAAGATAAATCAAGTGTAGTGTCTACTTGTTTGATTCTATCCTTTTAATTCTGTGCAAATAATATTTATTGCATCTCTATCAAATGCCACACAGTGTACTGTGTACTGGGATTACAAAGATGAAAAAGGACTGTTTCCTTCCCTAGAAGAATTTCTACTTAGCGCTTCTTAACTTACAGATTTACATATGCTGGTCAAAGAAATGAAATGTGAATTTTTCTGTTCTCCAAAGTTAGTTTTATTCTGTAAAATCTGAGCATTCCCCAAGAAAGAGATGAGATTTGAAAAAATTCATTGGTTCTCAACCCTGAATATACACTAGAATTATCTGGAGTGCTTTTCAAAGATACGGATGCCCAGGCCACACACCAATGGGGCTAAATCACACCGGCTAAGGGTGGGCTCCTTAGCACAGCATTGTTTCAAAAGCTGCACAGGTCATTACAATGCATCGCTAGGAGGGAAACACTGAAAAGAACACAAAACAATGTCTGACACAGCAGGCACT